CCGCCGGTGCCACAGGGGTTCGAGTAGCCGGAGAAAGCTGATGCTTTTGATCACCATCCATCAGGGGCTGCAAGGGCTCTCCATGGTAGCCGTTTACTACCTGGGGGTCTCCGAAAATAAGGGGTACCTTATTTTGGGGCCCTTATAATAAGGATCCTGCTATTTAGGGTACTATACTAGAGTCCCCTATTTTCTGAAACCCCCACCTGGACCTGTCATTCGACTTCTACCCCTGAGAAACAGGAAGGACTCATACAACAGCCCACAGCCACACGAAGGTAGCTGCCGTCACTGGCGACACGGCTGCATCGACGAACGAAGCGGCTTTGCCGACAAGCGTGGCGGAGGAGGAGGGTGAGGCGTGCTGGAGACTATTTTATGCATGGGCTGGGTTGAAGTGGTATAAGTTTGTGGTGTGCACCTTGCACGCTTCGGGGAAAGTCACTACACTTCACCGATTCCCATAGTTTCAGTTTCGTCTGAGCCTCTCGGATATAGCGCCGGCGGTAGGGCAGTGATGCATGTGTGGGCGGGCGGGTGGGGGGGGGGGGGCGGGCGAAGCGCACAGCAGAACAGAGTCGTCCACGAACAAGTCTTCGAGTCGTTGAGACGCACCAACACCCCCAGCACCTAAAGCATTGCAGCCTGAATCGCCAAGAAAAGGCGCAGCGGCTCGAAGGGCTCAAGCCTGACAGTCTCATGTCTGGAACCTCCGAGAATGGTGCTTTCTGCCCTGAGTCTCCAATATCCCTTAATTAAGGAATATACCTTAAATTATAGTAGGATCCTTAATAAGATTTAAGGTATATTCCTTAATTAAGGGGTATTGGAGTCTCTGGGTGGCTTGATGGCACTCCCTTCCGAGTTAGTGTTTTCACTGCTGCTGTTCTGACTCTGACTTTTGTCACGAACAGAACTAGTGTCATGGCGATTCTACCCGGGCTGCTCTGAAAGCTGCTGGGGCTGCTACTGATCTGGTTGTGGGCAGTCTTGTCTGCATGCCTACTATTACTTTCGTGTTGCCGGTGGGATGGCAGCGATATTTTGACACTTCTAATCCTTGTCATTGTGATTGTTGCTACTTTTGTGATTGTGGTGGTGCTGCTGCTGGCCCTGCTGTGCAGCAGCTGTCGCTGCGACTGCTGCTTTGCTGCTGCTGTATGTTTCGGAGGATCATGGAGGTGGTGTTTTGTGTTCTTTCTCTAGTCCTGATTGTGACCTTATACAAGGCATCATGTTCAATGTCAGCTTAATTTCCCGATCGCCACGGTTTGTCTTGGAGAGCCCTTGCTGCAGGCGTCCCTTGACGAGAGGGCGGCTCAGGCGGTTGCGGCTCTCCAGGCAATGTTCGCGATTCAGATTTTGGGTTTAGGGTCAGAGATCGGGCCAGGGTGTGGTGGAGATGAGTTTTTGGTATCCGAGTTTACCATTGTACTTGTCTTCTCGACTTTCAACTGTTGAAGTCCGCGCTTGCTTTGTGCCAAGCGATTGCCGGTAAAAACAAGAGCCTTCGTCGGGAATGGGCGAGCTCACCAGCTGGTGCCTCAGTGCATCGTTTCATGGTGGTGATGTCCAGGCGCATTGGAATGGCGACCACGGAAGTCGAGAAATGGAGCATGCAGTTCAAATTGTGGGCCGAAAGTTGGCTGTCGGCGGGTCGATGTCCCTACGAGCTTCTCGCTTCTAGGTCAGGGAAACGTTAAGAATAGAAACTTGACTTTGTTCACAAGTATTGTTCCGTAAGGCTCCTTGTTGTAACTATGCTACCCTCAAACCCCGAACAAACCCTAAACCCTAGACCCCCAAAACCCTAAACCCTAAGCATTCTTCCGGCAAGCACACCTGGCAGGTCACAGCCCTGCTGCCCCCGCCGCCCGCCCCCAAGCAGCATGCGCCCAGCATCAGCTCGGGGACGTACCGTGGCTGGGAGAGCTTGGATTGATCCCTAAGCCCCCAGCTACCTACTATATAGGGCTTCAGGGGCTCTATAATACACTATATAGTAGGTACCTGGGGGGTTAGGGGATTGATGGTAATAACCCTAAACCCTAAACCCTAAACCCTAAACCCTAAACCCTAATATCAGGTCTCAATTTGACCAAAACCTGGGCTTTCGGATTGCATCGAAATTGAATCCTGCTGCACCCCAGACTCTGCATATCTGTTGTGAGCGAAGCGTTTGGGAAGTTGACTGTCGCTTCACTTGACTTAAAACATGGTTATCCAAAGCCTGTTGGCTGGAAGACGAGATCTGTAGAAGCTTATGCAGCTTGCAGGGCGGTGCAGGTTTCAGAGCACTCGCCTGTTCAGGTGATGTAGTGGCCTTAATAATTAGAATAAGCTTTTTTGGTCATATTCATATTCTGTTATAGTTCTAATACCAAGGAGCCTCCCAAAAACTCTATTCTAGAAAGTATTAAGGTCCCTATATTGTCTTTATAGTCATTCAGGGAATGCTGTGGGATCGCCACTCAGGTCTTGAACTGCTAAATGGGTGTCTTATCGCACAAGGCATGGACAAACCAAGCATTACCTATCGTGTCCAGTGTAGCTCTTTTTGGGGGATACTTTATACATTCCTTAATATTAAAATTGGTTAAACCACAAAGAGGAACTACAATGGAGACTAAAGGTAGGCCCCTAAGCCGTGGTGTGCTTCTTTGTGCACTGGCCTCGGATTCCCCTAAATCCTAAACCCTGAACCCTAAACCCTGAACAACCCCTATAAACCCCTAAACCCTAAACCCCTAAACCCCTATAAACCCCTATAAACCCTATAACCCCTAAACCCNNAAACCCTAAACTCTATATACCCTATATACCTTATATCCTTAAACTGGCCCAGGAGCATCATCCAGGTGCTTGAGCGGCTCTGTCAGCACTCGTCGGGCTAGGAGCGCAGTGGTTTCTCTAGCGGCTCAAACGCTGGGGGTTTAGGGTTTTGGGTTTAGGGTTTTGGGTTTTGGGTTTTGGGTTTAGGGTTTAGGGTTTAGGGCTTAGGGCTTGGGGGTTAGGGTTTAGGGTTTAGGGCTTGGGGTTTAGGGTTT